TTTCTACCTCACTCATCATTTTGAACGACAATGCATAAATGTTGTTATGCGCAAACCATTCGCTCAAAAACAGCATCAGCTCAGGATCGCAGTCCGCATTTTGCGCGATACCCAGGCGCTGCTGTGCTGCGACTTCAGTATCCAGAACGTAAATCTGCCCATACTGCCGTTCATTTTCCTCGTTCGGGTGAAGAGGGCCAATCAGGGTCAAGCGTCTTGATGCGATCCTGGACCCTCATTTACGACCCCCCCCCCCTTAAAGGTACCCATCCGTACGACCCCCCCCCCCCTTCCCCCCCCCCCCCTCCCCCTCTTCCCATCTATCCCCCTTACCTCCCCTGCCCACATTTCTCGCGATAACCTGCATAAACGAATGTCAATATCAAAGAACACCTGCGTGAGAACTTCAGTAAGGTTTCAGAAGCAAAATGTCTGGACCAATGGGTGCACTTAGGATCTGTAGCACACATACGCACCTTCAGTAATGTTGGAGATTCTGCAAGTTTTTTTTCTGAATTTTCAGGCATACTTCAGGCCAGCAAATTCGATTCCCGTATGCGACACAAATTTTTACACGGAGAACAAAATGACATTCTTGATCTACGAAAGACGTTTTCGACTAAGAAGCTCAGTTTCTACCTCTTCCACAGTTTTTCCTGCGAAAAAAACCGCTTCGGCGCCGTCCAGAACGACGTCAAAAACGTGCATGAGCACGGTAGTTTGAAAATTCGTAACTAAGGCCAGGAAAAGATTGAGAGGCTGCAAAGAACAGGTTCTGTAGCATAGTGCCCAGACTATTCATAGAGAAAGTTTCAGCCCTTGAGGAGCAGTGAGCTCGAAAAAATTTAGATGCGACTCTCGCAAATTTAGATGCGATCCTAGAAAGCAAAAACTGGGATTTTTAAGCTTAAAATTTTGTAACTTTTCAGAGAAGTCATAAAACAGCCTGAAATTTTTATGAGGGAAAGTAGGAGGATGGCCTCATATTACAGCAAAATTGCAGCCAACAAGCTTCGATAGCCCCGAAAAAATTTAGATGCGACCCAGATACGACCCCCCTTTCCTGAATTTTTGCTACCATACATAAAATCATAAGAAAATCCACAGTTTACAGAATAAGACCAGATTTCGCACAGTGATAACAGGGCTCATCTAAAGTACATATAAATTATAAGGACCATATAATTAGCATTACAAAAGATTTTCGAATTATTGATTGTCATTGTTGATCTAGATGTGCGCTTTTGTCGAGTGTGTGAGACTTCGGTGAGGTTCCGGAAGCAGAATTTCTAAGCCAATGGGTGCGCCCAGCATCTCTAGCGCACATACGCACCTTCAGTAATGTTCGAGATTCTGCAAGTTTTTTTTCTGAATTTTCAGGCATACTTCAGGCCAGCAAATTCGATTCCCGTATGCGACACAAATTTTTACACGGAGAACAAAATGACATTCTTGATCTACGAAAGACGTTTTCGACTAAGAAGCTCAGTTTCTACCTCTTCCACAGTTTTTCCTGCGAAAAAAACCGCTTCGGCGCCGTCCAGAACGACGTCAAAAACGTGCATGAGCACGGTAGTTTGAAAATTCGTAACTAAGGCCAGGAAAAGATTGAGAGGCTGCAAAGAACAGGTTCTGTAGCATAGTGCCCAGACTATTCATAGAGAAAGTTTCAGCCCTTGAGGAGCAGTGAGCTCGAAAAAATTTAGATGCGACTCTCGCAAATTTAGATGCGATCCTAGAAAGCAAAAACTGGGATTTTTAAGCTTAAAATTTTGTAACTTTTCAGAGAAGTCATAAAACAGCCTGAAATTTTTATGAGGGAAAGTAGGAGGATGGCCTCATATTACAGCAAAATTGCAGCCAACAAGCTTCGATAGCCCCGAAAAAATTTAGATGCGACCCAGATACGACCCCCCTTTCCTGAATTTTTGCTACCATACATAAAATCATAAGAAAATCCACAGTTTACAGAATAAGACCAGATTTCGCACAGTGATAACAGGGCTCATCTAAAGTACATATAAATTATAAGGACCATATAATTAGCATTACAAAAGATTTTCGAATTATTGATTGTCATTGTTGATCTAGATGTGCGCTTTTGTCGAGTGTGTGAGACTTCGGTGAGGTTCCGGAAGCAGAATTTCTAAGCCAATGGGTGCGCCCAGCATCTCTAGCGCACATACGCACCTTCAGTAATGTTCGAGATTCTGCAAGTTTTTTTTCTGAATTTTCAGGCATACTTCAGGCCAGCAAATTCGATTCCCGTATGCGACACAAATTTTTACACGGAGAACAAAATGACATTCTTGATCTACGAAAGACGTTTTCGACTAAGAAGCTCAGTTTCTACCTCTTCCACAGTTTTTCCTGCGAAAAAAACCGCTTCGGCGCCGTCCAGAACGACGTCAAAAACGTGCATGAGCACGGTAGTTTGAAAATTCGTAACTAAGGCCAGGAAAAGATTGAGAGGCTGCAAAGAACAGGTTCTGTAGCATAGTGCCCAGACTATTCATAGAGAAAGTTTCAGCCCTTGAGGAGCAGTGAGCTCGAAAAAATTTAGATGCGACTCTCGCAAATTTAGATGCGATCCTAGAAAGCAAAAACTGGGATTTTTAAGCTTAAAATTTTGTAACTTTTCAGAGAAGTCATAAAACAGCCTGAAATTTTTATGAGGGAAAGTAGGAGGATGGCCTCATATTACAGCAAAATTGCAGCCAACAAGCTTCGATAGCCCCGAAAAAATTTAGATGCGACCCAGATACGACCCCCCTTTCCTGAATTTTTGCTACCATACATAAAATCATAAGAAAATCCACAGTTTACAGAATAAGACCAGATTTCGCACAGTGATAACAGGGCTCATCTAAAGTACATATAAATTATAAGGACCATATAATTAGCATTACAAAAGATTTTCGAATTATTGATTGTCATTGTTGATCTAGATGTGCGCTTTTGTCGAGTGTGTGAGACTTCGGTGAGGTTCCGGAAGCAGAATTTCTAAGCCAATGGGTGCGCCCAGCATCTCTAGCGCACATACGCACCTTCAGTAATGTTCGAGATTCTGCAAGTTTTTTTTCTGAATTTTCAGGCATACTTCAGGCCAGCAAATTCGATTCCCGTATGCGACACAAATTTTTACACGGAGAACAAAATGACATTCTTGATCTACGAAAGACGTTTTCGACTAAGAAGCTCAGTTTCTACCTCTTCCACAGTTTTTCCTGCGAAAAAAACCGCTTCGGCGCCGTCCAGAACGACGTCAAAAACGTGCATGAGCACGGTAGTTTGAAAATTCGTAACTAAGGCCAGGAAAAGATTGAGAGGCTGCAAAGAACAGGTTCTGTAGCATAGTGCCCAGACTATTCATAGAGAAAGTTTCAGCCCTTGAGGAGCAGTGAGCTCGAAAAAATTTAGATGCGACTCTCGCAAATTTAGATGCGATCCTAGAAAGCAAAAACTGGGATTTTTAAGCTTAAAATTTTGTAACTTTTCAGAGAAGTCATAAAACAGCCTGAAATTTTTATGAGGGAAAGTAGGAGGATGGCCTCATATTACAGCAAAATTGCAGCCAACAAGCTTCGATAGCCCCGAAAAAATTTAGATGCGACCCAGATACGACCCCCCTTTCCTGAATTTTTGCTACCATACATAAAATCATAAGAAAATCCACAGTTTACAGAATAAGACCAGATTTCGCACAGTGATAACAGGGCTCATCTAAAGTACATATAAATTATAAGGACCATATAATTAGCATTACAAAAGATTTTCGAATTATTGATTGTCATTGTTGATCTAGATGTGCGCTTTTGTCGAGTGTGTGAGACTTCGGTGAGGTTCCGGAAGCAGAATTTCTAAGCCAATGGGTGCGCCCAGCATCTCTAGCGCACATACGCACCTTCAGTAATGTTCGAGATTCTGCAAGTTTTTTTTCTGAATTTTCAGGCATACTTCAGGCCAGCAAATTCGATTCCCGTATGCGACACAAATTTTTACACGGAGAACAAAATGACATTCTTGATCTACGAAAGACGTTTTCGACTAAGAAGCTCAGTTTCTACCTCTTCCACAGTTTTTCCTGCGAAAAAAACCGCTTCGGCGCCGTCCAGAACGACGTCAAAAACGTGCATGAGCACGGTAGTTTGAAAATTCGTAACTAAGGCCAGGAAAAGATTGAGAGGCTGCAAAGAACAGGTTCTGTAGCATAGTGCCCAGACTATTCATAGAGAAAGTTTCAGCCCTTGAGGAGCAGTGAGCTCGAAAAAATTTAGATGCGACTCTCGCAAATTTAGATGCGATCCTAGAAAGCAAAAACTGGGATTTTTAAGCTTAAAATTTTGTAACTTTTCAGAGAAGTCATAAAACAGCCTGAAATTTTTATGAGGGAAAGTAGGAGGATGGCCTCATATTACAGCAAAATTGCAGCCAACAGCTTCGATAGCCCCGAAAAAATTTAGATGCGACCCAGATACGACCCCCCTTTCCTGAATTTTTGCTACCATACATAAAATCATAAGAAAATCCACAGTTTACAGAATAAGACCAGATTTCGCACAGTGATAACAGGGATCATCTAAAGTACATATAAATTATAAGGACCATATAGTTAGCATTACAAAAAGATTTTCGAATTATTGATTGTCATTGTTGATCTAGATGTGCGCTTTTGTCGAGTGTGTGAGACTTCGGTGAGGTTCCGGAAGCAGAATTTCTAGGCCAATGGGTACATCCAGCATCTCTAGCACACATACTAGTGTTTGCGGTTCTCACATTGTTTTATGCACTGAAAGATACAGACTGCTGATGGCTTATCTCGTGATTGCAGTGATTTATCAGGTGTTTCTTTTTGCAGCGATGCAGTAGCTCTACGGAAATCAGAGATCTGATTTTTTTCTTTATGGAATGCGAGCAGTGAATCACTTGCGTTTCGCTGTGCGGTTGGCTCTCCTATCGACTCTCTTGACCAAAACTTCACCATCGGGAGTAATGCCATAATGTGCTGCCTGACGCTAATTTACATCTTCGCTATCCTTCCCATATCGAATGCACTAGACGATTGCCATCCTTACATCAGCGAAATTTCTTCGCTAAAATTCCGGAATACTGCTAACCTGCAGTATATCGAACTAGCAGTCGAGGAAAATTGCCGAAAAGATGACAGCGTCATGAAGAAGCTCAAACTCAGTTCCTATGGTCTACTTGCAATCAATACGAAGTCTCCTTTGGTGAGTTAATCACTTTCAAAGTTTTCTCTGCTTCTCGCTATTTGATGCTAGAGCGTGGTTGAGAACCGATGAGCGGCTTAGTTTTAATTTTTACAGTCTAATCTTAAATATAGAGCTAAATGTCCGTAGGTCTTTATGGGGAGGAGGGGGGGGGGGGTAAGTGAGCATGCTGATTACAAATATGTTGTTGAGCGCCGTGCGGATGCGGGTTTGCCAGCTAGTTGCTTGTAAAGGTTGTAATCCTCGTTTTGATGACTTTTTAATCAGATGGATGCTCGAGAGAATTTTTTCGCAACAACATTCGTCGACTACAACAATCAAAAATGGCCAAAAAGCAGCGAATACCAAGCTTTCTTTGTCATTGGTAGCCAAGAAAGAGGCGATGTAGATGTTCCAATTGGAAATTTTCCACGGGCTCAAAAGAGGATTCACTTTAACTTTTTCAGTATGCGGGCGAGTTCCGCAAAATGTTCTCGTTTTGTGAATTGGCCTTTTTGCGATCATTCCTCCGAGCATCTGGAAGGTCAATCGTCACTTAAGCAATACTTTGCTTCTTCTTCTCAAACAGAAAGTCCACGAATTCATGGCGAAGACTACTTACTTCAAGGGCAAACAGCTTTTATGCTTCTCAAGCTAAGCGGAGAAGACGCCTCCTACTTTGTTGACAAATTTAGTTACGTGCAGACCGTGAGCGGCAACACAGTTTATAGTGAGGATAGATTACATGTAACCAGAGAAAAGCAGCGATGGCTGTCGGAGCGTATTGTTGATATGGTAGTATTTACACCATCAAACGACCTTTCACGAGTCATTCCAATGGAGCGAATGGACCTGATCTGGTCGCGCTTACGTCGTCCAATGATCTTCTACATTCTTCCACCGGATATTCTCACGGATAGCAATTCCATTTCTTTTTGTCCTCATTCACAGTGGGCTGTCTCCAGCAGAACTCCCGGCTATGATAATGTTTGTGAAGGAGAGGGGTTTACTACAAACTTGCTGCAGTGGGAGAAGCTGTCTAATCCACAATCTCCTATCCAGGTTCTAGAAGAGCAAGATGATGTGCTTTCTTTGAGGGGACTCGGTGATCCTATAGAACCGCTGTATGCCTCTGCTTCGTCTGGAAGCTTTGGAGACACATCAGTCACACCAAGACCTTATATCGGTTTTGGTGTTGCTGACGAGCGATTCTCCGTCCTTGACGGAAGGGTTAAGCAGCTACTGGAAATGGTTCAGCTGATCGCATCTAAACAAAATCACTTCTTTAACGCTCACAAGGCCCTCGCTCAGCAAGCGCAACAAACCAGCAATCTTCTGCATCATATGATGGACGAGATGAGAGAAAGAAGCGAGTTACACAATGCCGAGATAGAACAAGCGGAAAAAGAACTGAAAATTCAATTTGGACTTTATCTGGATACCGAAGAGAAGTCAGTACTCTCTGGCAACCTCAAAAAACTCAAAATAAATGACGTGGAGCTGACGCAAAGTCAAATTAGAACGTTACTGAACAAACCCTATCTTAGGTACTATAGGCACCCAGATTTTCCTGACGCAGATTTTATGCGGTGCTCATTATGTAACAGAGAGTCTACAGAGTTTGATCCACTTAAAGCTTTCGCTGAGTGTGCGCGATCCGATGCGGGAAGAGTTGAGAAGAAAGTTAATCTCCTCGGAAAGGACAGTGTGTTTTGCATGAAAAAACTGTCAAGCGTTTCTTCACGAGAGCGACCTCACTTGCCGTTTACTCGCCTTCTTGAGCGCTTGTCTATTCATGAGAGCTCCAAAGAGCATACGCAGCACATGGACGAGTTTTTTAACAGACAAACGGAGCGGAAGAAAACCACAACAGATGATATTGCAGCGACAGTAACATCGAGTCTCGCCGCCTATACCATAGCTAAACAAGGGCTACCGTTTTCCACGCAATTCCCACTGCTTATAACGGCAATGAGATCTGGTTCTATCGGCGTCAGCGCACATCATGATCCCACTACGGTGCGTCGAATGGTAACGACTTTTGCGACGCATATGAAGTACGACATCCTAAAATATGTTATGACCAAGAAATTGCCGTTTACACTTCTTCTAGATGGTTCCTCATCTTCTCGTGGAGTAAAGTGGATAGTATTCTTACTTCGAACTGTGTCACCGCAGCATCGTCCTATCACACTGCATTTCTTCCTTGCTGAGGTTGAAAGCGAATCTGCAGAACATATCGTTGAAGCTCTCTTCAGACATTTCGACAGCATGGAATCTTGGCGGGATGCCCCAGGTTTACCACACTCAGTGCGGCGATACGCACTGAAGAACATGATAGCTTTATCAACTGATGGAGCAGCAGTTATGCAAGGGCATGTTGGTGGCGTCTACGCATTGCTGAAGGATCGCCTGACGGAAGAAACCGCTGGAGATTTTCGTCCGCGTAGTAGTCTCCTTCTTTCAGTGTGCATGGCGCATAAGCTCAATCTAGTTTTTGCCTCCCAAAACGGTGAACTATTCAAGCTAGTTCAGGCAGTCATTATGGAAATGCATCATCTCCTTGGTTCTACAGTGCGAACGACTGGACGAGCTGCTTACCATATGATTGCAAAGAAAATGCGCTATAAGCCACTAGAGATGTTGGCTTTATTCACGGTACGATGGTCTGCGAGCTTGGCAAATGCAGTATCCAATGTCATTAGAATGTATCCGGTTCTTATTGAAACTATGAGGGAGTTACAACGAGATAGATACGGCGCAGCAACAATGAGAAGAGCTAGAATTGCACATTGGGTGCTCACGGATGGGAGAGTGTTCCTGGCTTTAAACCATGCAAATACTACACTTCAAGAGCTCTCATTATTTTCGCTGAGGCTACAAAACGAAGAAGCTCTTCTGATAGATAATATCCGAAAATGGAAAGAGCTGTACTATCTTATCGAACAATATGTTCTTAGTAGCAGAACAACGACACGATTGCTTGAAAGGGGAGAACTCAAAGCATTTGATAGAGTGCGCGATAGATACCGTCGGATTGAAAGAGATGAACTTTATGATTACGACGCCAATTCAGGGGGAGAAGAGTGGAGCAACAACAACTTATTACTATCCTACAATCCCAAGCTTTTCAAGATTATAATCCTTCTGTGGTTGCTGAAGAGGACAGCGACGAGCGAGAGGAGATGCTGACATTCAAACGATTCAGATACCTTGAAGGAACTCCTGACGAAGTGTACACTGCAGCTGGAGATCCAGAGCAAAGCTTTTCTGCTGAGGACGCCCCCGAGATTGACAAAAGCGCATTGTTGCGCTTTAACCTGCGAAAGGCTTACCATGATTTTGTGTCAACTTCTTTTCAAGATGCCGCGGAGAGGTTTTACAATGATGTCAAAGATCAACTGCTTGCGCGAATGGGCGAAACAAGAGCGCATGAGCTCCACGCTAACGACTTAATGGCGCTGGAAAAATCTACAATCATGGACGTAGTGGATTTCGATGGAGACTTTGACACGGGATTCGTTGACTACGTGCCATCAGGAGCTAATTACTTTAACAGAGGCTGCCCGAGCTACATTGACCCGGTCTCAAATGCGCTCGATCCACAAGAGCGCCATCGTTCTATTTACGCCTCAATTTCCGCTCTCGAAAGATACTGCAACATCCAAAATCTAAGATCCCCTATGATACGATTCTTCAACACCATACCAAAAACGGCTAAAACATGCTTGCAATGGAACAGCGGTTACAAAGATATGCAACAAAGCGCATCTTTCTATCAGATGCTTCTCGCTAATTACGATTCGTTACAGATACCGGGCGAAGTCGTACAGGTACTAAATCATTATTCGCTTTAAATGCAACTTAGGCATGATGTTTTAGGCAATTAAATGTGTGTTAGTCGTTCCTGCAAGTAATGCAGATCCAGAACGTAGCTTTTCGGCTGCGAATAGACTCACAAAAGATGAAAGAAGCAATTTGGCAACAAGCACCCTCGATTCATTGATGACGTATGTGATGATTTCTAAGTGCCTTTAAACTTGGGTCCGCTCTATTGACATTTGCAGAATACAAAGGGATGGTCCCAGCATTTTGACTGTCAAAATTCAACAGCTAGCCGCGCAATGGCTGCATCCTCGTCCAGGCCTAAATCTACATCCAGGACGACCTTCTACGTTTGGAAGAGAAGGCAGTCTCATGAAAGAGATAAAAACAGCTCTTGCAAGTGGTATGTTTTTCTTCCAATTTACCTGCGGCTACATATGTTTGAGATTTAAGGGGATGTCAGCGGTTTGATTGCTAAACATACTGAACACTACATGACTATGCACGGGCTGAGAACTCGCCATGACGTCAAGGAAATCAGCACTCGACTTCAGAACGAAGAGGAGGCCAAACTAGCAATTTTTTCTATCGGCTCAGTTGCCGAAACAAGTCCATCGTAATAACTCAACGACAATTTTCTCGAACTTTCATGACAACATCTTTGAAGATAAACACTTTTTTATCGCCAGTTTCTTGAAGCGGCCTTACTGCGCTCTATGACTGCAGACGAGAGGAGTTAAAAACCTAACTAACCTAAGTATAAAAACAAGTCAAGTCATACTCTCTCAAAAATGCAGCAAATAAAGAGAGTTGCTACATAAGCAAATGTTTTACATTGCATGTTGCTCAGTCGTTCTCATTTGATATATTGGTACTCAGCATTCTAAGAATTATTGTAACGAACATGTATTAATTATTTAAAATAATTATTAGATGTTATTACTACTATTTGATTAATAACTATTACATGTTATTATATTTCATTAATAACATGTAATAATTAAATAGTAAATTATTACTAATTGATTTGCTTTCAAGCGTACGGTTTTTTATCCAAACTACCCCTTTTACGACCCCCCCCCCCCACCGTAGGCCCCCTTTACGACCCCCCGTTGCGACAGTCGCATCACACGCTTGACCCTGGGGCCAATATGATGGTACACTTGCCCATGTATGCGATAGCAGTACGGCCCACGTCCTCGAGGCACATCAACCTGAGCACCCATCGAAGCCATTGCTAAAGCTGAGTTGAAATTTCTGATGTTAGTGAAGAAGTTGTTACGGCGTTCTCGTCGCTGTAGCAATGATGAGCTTCCTAGAAAGAGCTCTTGTATCAGAATAGGGAAATCGTTGAAAAAATCCAGAGAAAAGTGTCCAAAATCGCAACAATCACCAAAAGTATTAGCGTGCTGTTGCTTAACCTCGAAACCGAAATGTAGCGCACCACAGTTCGAGCAACGACGATCAAGCTCTCCTAAGTGGTTAATGATTGACATGCGTTGTCGAGTGCTATTCCGAGGGTATTGGCAACATTGCGACGCTGACGGTTCCTATTCATTGTTGGTTCCCGCGCCTCTTGTTCTTCATTCCGGCGCTGAAGATTCTCCTGATGGCGATCTGCTTCTTCTTCCTCGTTTTCTTGCGCTCTGCGCAGTCTCTGCCGCATCGCATTCCTTCTTCGGCGTTCAGCGCCCTCCTCACTCGTCTGATTTTGCAGTAGTCTCTGCTGACGCTGATTCTGTATCAAAAGACGCTGCGCACGGTCCTCGGCACTTTCAGCTTGTCGTCGCCTTTGCTGACGCTCAGCATTCACAAAAAGACGCTCAGCGCGTTCCTCGGTGCTCTCATTTTGACGACGTCTTTCTCGACGCTCAACATTCGCTAATAGCCGTTGAGCACGATCCTCACTGCTTTCGTTCTGGCGACGTCTCCGTTGACGCGCAGCATTCGCCAATAGCCGTTTAGAACGATCCTCATCGTTTTCGTTCTGGCGACGTCTATGTTGACGCGCAGCATTCGCCAATAGCCGTTCAGAACGATCCTCATTGTTTTCGTTCTGGCGACGTATCCGTTGACTCGCAGCATTCGCCAATAGCCGTTCAGAGCGATCCTCATAGTTTTCGTTCAGCCGACGCCTTTGCTGGAGCTCAGCAAGCGCTGATAGACGTTCAGCACGATCTTGACTGCTTTCATTCTGGCGACGTCTCTGTTGACGCTGCGCGTCAGCGGAACGACGTTCAGCATTTTCGGTTAAACTTTCATGTTCACGTGATTCGCGATGACGTTGCGAATCTTGCGCACGTCTAACGGAACGGTGCTCAGCATCTTCATGCTGGCGTTCTAGCTGATGGCGCACCGCGTCTGCACTCCTCCGTAAAGCACGCTGCCCTTCTCCTTCGGCCGTGCGATGACTTCTTTGGCGGTCAGCATCTGATGCATGAATGCGAGGACGCCCACGCCTACGGTTTTCTGGCTGCTGGTTAAACTCCATTTCACTACTTTTTATCTGAATCAGATATTTCAAGTAAAGCAACTCTGTCGGTGACATAACACCACATAGTTTGTTCTGATTGAGAATTTTCTCTTTTTGCCAGCCAATATTTTGCGCAAACACGGTGAAATGTGACACTTAGTTTTTGCTACGAAAACGCTATAGAAGCCTAGACCTTAACTGCTGAATGTAAGTTCTGTAATACAATTTACGTGTTTTTGTTGATACATTTGACAAAAAGTTGGTTACTCTATCAATATACCTCGAGAGAAGACAGAATGCGAATTTAAGAACCTAATATTTGGCATACAAAAAAAGACTAACAGCACCTATACTTTTATTCTGAATTTTTGAAGATGAGTCATGCATTTTACCACATTTTCTGGCAGCTCAAAAAATTTTGTAGACTGTCCATTAGGCAGGGAAAGAACCTAAGAAGAAGAAAATCTGTACGTTACTGAACACTCAAGTATCCGTCCTTCAAGTGCTATCAACAAAAAAATGCCTGCCCACACGCCAAAGATATTTGACCGCTTCAAAATGTGGATGCGACAAAGACCAAGTGTTGTGCTTCTACTTCGACTGCACTCAAGGAGAATCGGTTATTGACACGCATTGTGCTTAGGGACTTTCATCTCGAAAACAAACGCAATTTTCTCTCATGGTGACTTGTTATAGCTAGACTTAATGACAGCTAATAGTCCCTCATTGACCAATCTACAATACAGCTTGCTTTCTAGCAACTCTTTTGCGCACGCTTATCTTTGAATATAGACTGCGTGTGAAGGTTACCCAAAAAATAAATATATTCTAACTACTATAATCTCAAGGACTCTTCAGTCCCATTGTGTCAGCTTTACAGGCGCTACCGGTGCATTATTACAACGGCTGCTTGGCTAGCCGCTAGTTTACCGCTAGTGCTAAATTTTGCAATGACTCAAGAGAAACTGCACGGATATTGACTGTGGTGCTCAACAACACGGCAACAGAGCTGCACCGGTAAAACCTGCAAAGTATGGCTATCCAAAAACAAAACGTCTCAGATAAACTCTGTATGAGTGGAAAATCTACAGTGCATTTTCAATCCGTCTTAGGACGATGCGCTCTCGCGTTGCAACATTCGTTGCGTTTACGGTGGTAGATGCATCCTATGATGACTAAGTGCATCTCCTCGTTCCTTTCCTTAACTTCTCAAACATCCATCAAATGAAAGGTACGGTTTCACGGTAAGATGCCTTGGCTATAGCGGATTGAGAATGACTGCGCGTAGAGCAAATGCACGAAACCTACCGCTTCGACTAATTCAATCGAAATGAGACATTGCACTCACGACAGTATCACATTTCTGATTCAAGCTTGTGCTTACTTGCACCTTGTATATACTTGGTGCAAATACTTCCAAACATCATTGCTTTGTCCGTTAGCTCTTTCAAAAGAAAAAAGTTGATTTCATACGTCCGGCCAAAACGTTCACTGACATTTGTAGAATGTTTAAGTTCTTTTCTTTTTGGTATGGCCTGTGTAAGGCCCCGGACAGACTTCACTCGAGATCAAATCGCGTGAAGTCTGTCCGCGGCCTAAGAGCAACAAACGCAGTGTCCAACTTAATAATAATCTCAAAGTTATAGATTACTTACAGAAATCCCAATAATTACGATGCTATTATTCACAATTTGTGCGGAGCCTATGCATGTGCTTGTAAACGCTGGTGTCTTACAGACTTTATGCGTTGTAAAGTCAAACTGCTTCCGCTTGTCCAAAGGTCTGACACGTGTGGCCAGCGCGCTGGAAGTCCTGCTTTCCTCCTGTGTTAAGTTAGCAATGAAACTCACCGAGCATCACGAATGAAATGGAGAAAGCTTTTCATTTCAGATGCACTGTCGTAAGTAACCGGTAATTTTATATGAAAGGGTTCCTTCGAATGGAGAACGAATACTTTTTCAAAATGAATACTGAACTTTTGAAAACTCAATAGTTGCCATTATAAAAACTGATAATGCGAGCTACGTCTCTGAGCGAAAATCTTTCCAATTCGTCTAGTAGAACCTCTGGAAATCGAAGAAGTGAGCACCTGCCACGTTTTGGCGCCGTTTTCGCATGCGATTAAACTTTTCGTAGTTTTTTGAGTTGCCGGGGAAAATTTTGCGGATTTATATGCTGAACATAATCATAACTTAGCAAAAAGTTTGCTTACTGAACTACTTTTGCGGCTAAAAAGAAAAGTGGACCCGTTTGACGTGTGATTTTCAAAGGATCCACTGAATGGATCCGCTCAAGCTTTGGTATATTGGACTCTCATGTTGGTAGCATGCGCTGTGCAAAATTTGGGCTTAAGATGTTGGCGGGAAACCGTTCCACGAATTTCGTGACAGACAGACAGACTTACACACACACACATCCACACAAAAACACGTAAACATCCTTAGCCCGTTATTATAAGTTATGATTAGCGACCCTACGGGTCGCTAGCAAGTGGGTCGGGGCAGATACATATAAGGGCTTAGGTTTGACTGAAAATATTCCTAAATAAGTTTCCTGTTCCTTCCCTGAGAACATTTTTGCGAAGAGCATTCTACAATAGAACTGCTCGAAGAAGTGATAATCTCCACAAATCATTCAGCATTTCTCGAAATTCCAGCTACATAATGCATGATATTATTTTTATCTCGTTTACACGCTTTTTATGCAAGTCTCCCTCCTCACAGAGACATTCAGATACCCCCCCCCACTTTTCTACTCTCTCAAAGAGAATTTACTTTTTCAGTTCTTCTCAACAAGTTCCATAAAAGATCGTTAAGTAAGTAGCAGAACATATCGTTTTGGAAGTAGAAATACACCATGAGAATTATGTGTATTACAAAAAACACTTTTCTCACAATCAGTTCCGACAGCAACGAATTCAGTCGCCTAAGAACTTTGTCAAAGAATCCTTCAATTTTTTCGCCAAAGGAATATGAAGCTTTACTACAAAAGGGAGCCACCCAAAGACCGTCAATCATAAGAACTGCACAAATGTGTAAAAAATTCCTTTCCCTGTCCGATCAAATTGCCCTACGTGCCGTTTACAAACCAATTATCTATCTGAAAGACAGTTCATGCCCTACGTGCCGCTTGAAGACCTACAAGAAC